ACTGGCTCACTAATAAATAACCAAACAGCAAATTTACTAATTAATTTAACAAAAAAAATAGTCTACTGATGTAACACCACTTACATTCTCAAGCAGAGAATTAAATAATTCCAAATAGTAGCTTAGAGTGCTATCTTTTACTGTCTTGATATTTGAAACCAGAGAGGAAAGAAAACTGTTACCTACATCAGATTTCCAGGAATACATTTCATTCAGCTTACATGTTTTTTCTTGTCATGCTACTTTTCTAGTTTTTTCCTTCTGTATCCTTTCAATACCCCCTTAACACCAAAAAAAAGTTAATTTTATTAACAAAACAGAACAATCATGTGTTATCTTCTCATTTTGAAACTTAAAAACCTCTTTTTTTATTGACTGCTTTAAGAGCAAGCTAAATCATGCTGGTGGCCAGCTACACATTACCTAAGCAAAAAAAATTTTGTAGTTGAAATACGTAGAGGTCTGTCAGCTGAATAAGCGAACTAACTTTGTCAGTAACTTTTTAACAAGGCAAAACACAAAGGGATTTATGAGAACACAAAGGCAAAACCAAGAAACTTAACAGTCCAAAGGAGGTTAAAACAATCAATGTAGCCCAGCTCTTTTCTTGAACCCACAGGTAATGCTGGACTACTGACTAAGCAGTGCCATCCTTCCCCGCACAGTGAGCATATTTGAATAGAGACCTAAATTTAATCAACTGGCTTCACTACAGACCTTCCAAAACATTTACAAGCCCTTGGTGACATAAACCACCTTGACAAAACATTTTAGCTCATAGTATAGTTTTTCCATGTTGCTCCAGCAGGCAAACATATAGTTGATTTCTTTAAGCCATTACCGTAATAGTATTCTTTCACTTGATACCTTATTTATTAGTTTTGTTTATTTTCTCTAGTCCCTAGTTCAAGGTTACATTCTATGCAGCTCAGCAACCAACTTCCTACTCAGCTGCTTTGTACATGAAGACTACATAACCTGCCTTACTGATTCAAACTGTAAATCTTTAAAAAGGTCTTCAATACATACTGGAAAACTCTGAGCTGGGCTTTGTTTCTTAAACCTGATTTAAAACTTTCTTTCTATTTTCATATGAGAACTTAGCCTTAGTTCATATGAGAACTAGCCTTAGAAACAACCAGAAAAAGATCAAGTCCACTCAAAATCTGTGTTTTAAACAGATCTGAAGTTAAATTTTTCATGTGAAATTTCCTTTTTCAAATAAGGAAAAGAAGCAGCAGCAAAAAGGAAAAGGAAAGGCACATGAGCAAAAGGCAGAGGCCAGCAATGTGCACTGGAAAAATTAGCTACTCGAAACAGTGAAAACCTAGAGCAGTCCATTTTAAATTCTGCAAAATACAGTTTTACTTAACAAAAACAAAGAGCTGTAACTTTTTAAAAAAAATTATTTTTACTAATCAAGGCGGGGAGTCAAACTCTCAATCCTTTAAATTCAAAAGCAGTAGAATTACTGGAATGAAAGTTATTTTCATATCAGCGTATGGCACCATGGCTTCTCCATTTACTAGATGAATATATATTTTACTGTTTTCCCTACACTTGTTGCGATTTTGCACATAAATGATCCATATTTTGCAGAGCCTCACTGCTACTACAGACTAGCTACCAATACAGATTGAGATAACTCTCTAGTACCAAAATTAAAAGAAATCTCATATCTTTCCTATAAGCAACATCTATGCACATAGTAGTACTATGCTAGTAGTGCCCCACCTACTTACTCTTATCTAAGCAGATGGGTAGGTGTATCCAAACTTGGAAAAATGTGATTACTCATCTATACTGCTAACTGAATTAAATGTGTGATCACGTAACATATGACCTGACTCAAGCTACATAAAGTAATTCTCTGGAAACTAGTTTAACATGAAATTGTAGGAAGCAAGAGACTGTGTCTGCTTCTTTTGTCAACCATGGGGTTTGGTTGAGAATTTTTTTTTCAATCTAGTCATTTTACCAGTAGAGAAATAAATACCTCATACTTTTGGAAGAATTTCCATTTTGAAAATATGCATGTGCTACTTTAGAACAGCTGTGTTACCCTATCCACAAGAAAACAGAGTAACACAAATCTACCAGCAGCAAGAACTTTCGTTCAACAAGTGCCTACAGCTCAATCAGTTTATCTGAAACACAAACTTTTCTTGCTATTATAATGGAAAAGGCAATTAATCATTCAAAGAGAAGTCACCAAGTCTGGAACACATATCCAGTGTCTTTGCTGCTCCTTAGAACCCACAGCCAAACAATACCATCTAAAAACAGCGAAGTTAGGACTGCAATTCAAACCTCACAGCAACAACACACTGCTGCTGCTTCAAAGGAGCAAAGCTGACTTCACTTGTTTCTCTTCAGGTGTTTACTAGAAATTTCTCCTAAAGCAGCTCAGACACCTAGATTAAAAAATCATCACTAAACACATGGGCTTTCCAAGCATGCTAGAACTGCTGTGTAATCATTTTCTACATACCAAAATAACTGGATAATTTATATATTATTAGAGAAGACGTATACGAGACATAAAACGAAAAGAGCAAAAAGACTGGCTGAAATACTCAGTCACGTACAAAGTTCATGATGTCTGAACATCATTACAACTGGATACAAGCCCAGAATTAAGCCTTTAAATCATCCAGATGAAGAACACAGGTGCTGTAAGAAGCTGTTGCCACCATGAAACTGTAATATTCTATCTAGTCTAAGGCCATTATCAAACAGGACAGCAAAAACGTTCAGCATTCTGGTTGTAGTACTACACATTCAAGCAAAAAGTGATTATGACATAGTTTTGATTATGAATAGTTTTTGAATGGTTATAAAAAAAGAGTATAAACCCCTTCCCTTCCATTTCCCCACTGCCACTGCAGTACACATTAAGATCAATAGCTGTATGGAAGGAAAAAAACAGTGGTTTCCATTTCTCCACAACAGGTAAGCATTATCAACAACTGATTTAATCTTCACAATTTAGGTGTTTTTTGCAACAAATGCACCATTAGGACAGACCTTTCTTTATACATATAGAAACCTCTCATTTTCACTCAGCCATTACAACCCCTCTCCTGTAAACCTGACAGTCTGCATTTATTTGTCTGTAAGCAGTTAAAAACTGAACGCAAATTACATTCAACTGGAGGGAGGAAGCAAGGCAGGGAGTCACAAAGCTAACTCCTAGAAACAGATCTGCAGGCACAAGAAAAACTTACTCACTACAGAGTGAATACCAAAATCAGGAGACTTAGACGCTCATGCTTCAAATCAAAGAACCACTACCAACAGAAAAAAGAACAGTCCTGCAAAACTCCACTACAACCCAATTAGAAAGTGCATAAGACAGAACCCTGAACTTAACTGGGCAGTCAATCTGACTATTCCTAAATACTGAGTTATTCCTAAATGCAAACCTCATACACATAATTCAGTGTATCATTATTAGCTTTCCTATTACAGGATATAAACCACTACAGAAAATAACCTGATTCCTAGGGCATTTAAATCAAACTATGCACATAATATTCCTGCTATGCTATTATTCAAATAATTTTAAAAGTGTATTTTAACCACTTGTAACAGACTCTCACAGAAGAACAGCATGACGTTTTCAGAGCAATTACAGCATTTTCTTCTTGAAACACCCTACTGCTTACAAAATTATTCCATATAACCACACCTTTAGACAATCACTATTCTTATCCCAAGGCACTTCAGCTCTATCTCTCTGAACAAAGTAGGACACAGCTTTGTTACTTTGCTCTTTAAACAGCATTTTATGTACACCCAGTACAGCAAACTCTACCAAGGGCCAGTGAAACATGGAACAGCTTTATCATGTTCCCTGAATACACTACAGGACACCTCAAATAGTGATCAACACAAAGTTCTTATTAAAAACACCAGAGAACAGTTCTCAGACAACCCACCAGGTACCTTGTAAACAAAATTCTTGCCTGTGAAACAACACATTACTGGATACCTTTAAAATTGCAGTCCAGACATGAATTTAAGTAGGTCTACAAACAACGGGGCCACAGCAAGATGCTAATATAGAAAATAAGAACCTTCAGTTTTAAACACATACTAAGCAAATACTTTCAAATTTCTAGTGTACTTTTCTGCAGATCAAAATATTATGAAGAGCTTTAATTCCACAACACGGTTTGCATCTGTTTAGAAAGATACAGCCCACATTCCTCTCCACATAAAATTAAAAAATTCATGCAATGCTGATCTTTACACACCGAGTTCTCATTAACACTGAAGAAAAATTATCTGCAGGCATACATTAATTATATATACGTGCACAACCTTACCAGGGAAAGAGCTTAATGTAAAATACAGGACAGTTTATCAAAACATGACACTGACTCAATTTTCTAGCAAAACAGAAAGCCCAAGTCCTTCTGCAGACTTCTAAAAAGAACGAGAAAACACTTGCAAACACGAATTGCCTGTCAGCTGGTTTTCTTTTTAGATTAGCAGAAATTAAACCAAACCCAAATATATTTGATATGCATCCTATTTTACCCAGGAACAGGATACATAAAAATGTACCACAAAACATCTATACTTTATAAAGCAAAGATTTAAAAAATCAAAATTGGTCCTTCAGAAGACCTGTCCTCCAAGGAGCATCTTTCTTCAGTCACTCTCATCTGAAAATGTTCTCATGCCCTTAAAAACTTAAAAGCCTTTTTTCAGCCAGGTGGTCTCCCACGGAGACAAACTAGCCGCAGAAGTGTTACAGACATCTGCGTCTCCCTTTCACCCCGGGAGACAGACAGGACAGGAAGATCTTTGTACTTGTCCCTCTCCCCTGCCCCTCATCCCAGCTTTCTGGCAGCAAAAGGGCAAGAGGGAAGGATCGCTGCTGGATGCAAACCTCTCCGCCCTCTCCGGCATTCCTGCCCCAGTCATTACTCCCCTCCTCCATACACCGGGTCCCCAGCCCGTTCCGCCTTTGATCCCGGGCCCGGACTTACCGGATAACGGGGCTGTAGGGGCTCCTCGACCGGCGCCAGCTGCTGTAGGGGCTGGGCGACACATCCCCGCCGCGCTCGTACGAACTGTGCCGGCTGTAGCTGGGGGATCGGCGTCGGCTGTAGGGGCTGAGTGGCGAGCGGGCGCCCACCGGGCTGAGCGACTTGCGGCTGCGCTGGCTCTGCGAGGAGCGGTGCAGAGGAGGGCTGTCATCCCGGCCGGGGCTGGGTGAGGAGCGCTGCCGCCGGTACGCCTTGGGCTCGGGCTTGTCGTCCCGGTAAGCTTTCGGAGGGTCCTTGTATGCCGACGGCGGCTCCTTAGCCGCTTTAGTCCGGCTCCGGTGCGATTTGCTCTCTCGGTCTTTCCTGCCGCTGCTGGGCGAGGCGAGGGAGCCCTTCCTGCGGCCGTCGCTGCCACCGCCGCTGCTGCTGCTGCTCTTGAGTCCCTCCCGGTCTTGGCTCCCAGTGTGGTTGTGGCGGCTGCGGGATTTGGAGGACGAGGAGGGCTCGGATGCCCCGCGGCCCGGTGCCGCCGTCCCCTCCTGCTGCGCCTTTTCCTCTCCCCGCCGGCGATGCTCTCGGTGCCGCTCCTTGGAGCGCCCGCTGCTGCCGCGGTGCTCCTGACGGGACCGGCCGCTCCGCTCCGCCTCGCCCCGCTGCCGCTGGGTCCCACCGCCCGAGGAGGAGCCCGGGCTGCCCCCGCCGCTGCCCCCGCCGGCCGCGCCGCTGCCCAACAGTCCCTCCGACTGGGAACTCACGTCGTCGTATTCCTCCACCAGCGTGCTCAACCCGCCGCTACCGCGCCGCTTCTCCGCCTCCTGGGTGCCCCCGCCGCCGCCGCCGCGGCCCCGCCGCCGCTTGTGCCGGGAGCCCGAGCGCCGCTTGCCTCGCGGTCGCTTCCGCTCCCCGCCGTCCCCGCAACAGGAGGAGGCGCCGGTGGCCGCCAGGAAGAGCAGGGACTGTGGCGGCAGCGGCGGCTGCAGCAGCGGGGGCTGCAGGAGCGGGGGCTGCAGGAGCGGGAACAGCAGCGGGTGCGGGGCCGGCGGCGGCGGCTGCGGCTGGGCCGCGAAGCGCTTCCGTCTCCGGTGGTGCAGCCGCTTCTTGTCGGCCGCCGCCTCCACCGCCGCGCTGCTGCCACCGCCGCTGCCCCAGCCCCGGCTGCCCCCGCTCCCGCCGGCCGCCGCGTCCGAGGTGCTCGGCATCGAGCTCGCTCACGGCCGAGGGCGCGGCCCAGGGAACCCGCCGCCACCGCCGCGCTCAGGGCGCCATGGGGACCCGGCGGCGCCGCGCACACGCACCGGGACGGACACGCGCGGGCCGCACCGGGGCCTCGCTCGCTCCCGCACCGCCCGTCCGCCTCACATGGGGCCGCACCGATACATACGGGGTCGAGCTGAGGCCAGGGCTGGGCGCGCTGCCCGATGCGGCGGCGGCGGAGCGGCACCGGCAGCGTCCCGCAGGCCTGTGCGGCCTCTTCCGCAACACGGAAGTGTCTCCTGGCGGCGGCGGGGGCTCCTCCTCACTTCATTCTGGGCCGCCGCGCAGGGACACGGACACCGGGCGCGGGCCTCCTCCACCTCTTCCCTCAGCCGCTCCCGGGAGGGCGGCTGGGTCAGGCCAGGCCGGGCCGCCTCCGGGCGAGGTATCCGGGGCCCTGCGAGGCTCCGATCGCGGTTCTCCTGCCCGGCGGGGGCCGCACGTGTCGGGGCCGCTCCCGCGCCGCCGGTACCCGGGAGCGCTATCGCGGCCTCAGCGCCGCCGCGCGCGGGTGACACACGCACCGGGGGGGACACGGACACGGCCCGGCGACGCGCGGCGCATGCGCGACGCCGGAAGCGGGCGGGGGAGGGGGAACGCGCCCCGCCAATCGCGCGCGGCGCCGCCGCCTTCGCCCGCATGCCCGAGAGCCGCCCTGTTCTCGCGAGACTTCATCCCACCCTCCCCCCTGTCCCCCGCGTCTCTCGCGGTAACTGCCCCTCTCGCGGTAACTGCGCCGCGGGCGCCGCGGGCGACGAGAGTGGGCGGTCCCGGCCTAGGGGACCAAAGATGGCGCTCGGCGAGGACCGTGAGCGAGGCCCGACCTAGAGGTGCTTGGTGCGCCTGGCTCCTTCCTTGTCTTCCTCCCGGCTCACTCTGCAGGCAACGGGCACAAACTGATGCACAGGAAGTACCACATGAATACGAGGATGAAGCTTTTTTTCTGTGTGTGACGGAGCACTAGAGTAGGCTGCCCAGAGAGGGTGTGGAGTGTCCCTCACGGGACGTGCTCCAGAACTATCTGGACGCAATCCTGTGTAATGTGCTCCGGGATGACCCCGCTTGAGCAGGGAGGTTGGCCCAGATGACCCATTGTGGTCCCTGCCCACCTCGCCCGTTCTGTGAGCTGGAACTGTCAGGTTCTGGGAGGTAGTTCTCCCTGCTTTTGTTGTATGTAATCCCTGGTTATTGATGGGGGGGGGGGGGGGGGGCGGGGCGTGAGAGAAAAACTCCTTCAGTTAAAATAGGTGTGTTACTCTGAAACAGTGAAGTCACTTCGCTGTTCCATGAAAAGTAAATATTTTTTTCATATTTTTTTTCTGTGTTGCACTACTGAAACTGAGTAAAACTTAGGAAACTTAGGATATTTTAGGTTTCTTTCCCAACTTACCGATTTAATGCTCTAATGAAAAACTCAAGCTCTTTTTTGCCTACTCTATCTTTCTGCCTTTTCATGGTTTTACTGAATTTCATGACTGGAGCCTAAACTGAGTGTGCCTCAACTCAGCTTCTTGGGCTGACTATCTTCGATTAGGTATCTGCTATACCATCTTGAATGCTGTTGTGAGCACTTTAAAAGCAGACTATTGCCTTCCCTTAGGGATTTAATGGTTTTCTCGCCACCTTGCTATCAAATTGTTAGCTAGCTTATATACAGACTGGTTACATTTGTTGTAAAATACAAAGCGCAAATAAAAGACCAAAACAAAGGAACCCACCTGTTTTTCATTGCTGTATTTCAGCTCCTTGATTCACTCTGTTTCCTCTTTTCTCAACCCAAGCAAAAATATTCTTCCTGTCCAGGTCCCGTGTGTCATCTGCGACCCAGCAAATCTCCTTTCACAAGTGTGTTCAGTACTTCACCCTTCACCTCTCTGTTCCAACTCACATTTCTTCCAAACATTGTCATCAAAGCATTCATTACCTATTTTTCTAATTGTACACACACAAAAAGCCTGATGTGTTGGCCCACCTCCCATTTCAGGAGAAAAGGTCCCTGTCCAAGAAGGATTACTCTAACCTAGGCAGTGATTCCATTCATATTTTGTGAGATTGTGGGTTTTTTATCAGCATGCCGTGCCTTACAGAAATACTGTGCATCTCCCTGGGGTTGGGGAGTAGCTTATTTTTCAGTAGTGGTCTGGAGGCTGATCTCAGCTTTGCTGACATCCTTTTCTGCTTACCTTGTATGTGAATATTCAGCAACCAAGAGGTTCTCCAGGGCTGTTGCAGCACACTCAGCAAAGCCAGTGTGCCATCAGGCCTCTGGCACATTGGAAAAAAAAACCAAAAACAAAACCCAGAAAGCCAACAACCCTCAATCTCAGAGGCAATCATAGAGACTGGAAAATTACACAGGGCAGATCTGGACAAAGCAACACAGGCTGCAATTTCTAATTTATTCCCAAGCATTACCTGGCATTTCTGGAGGAGGGGTATGTTATTGAAATAATATGTTATTTGAAAGACTTATGTCATTAGCAGTAGAATGCTGGTGTTTCTGCATCTGGAGTGAGCCTTATGACTTGTCAGAGAAGCTCAACTGGAAGCTAAGCTGCTAATGACAGCAAGTTTGCTCTGCCTGGAAATGAGCTACACCAGGTTGTAGGGGGATGTGCCAGCAGCAATCATGTCACCTGTCAGCTGACAGGATTCGACAGTGGAAATCTATCCATAAATTCCTGACATAACAAAGCAGACCTGAAACAGATTACTTACAGAGAATAAAATCCTTCACAAACATTGAAGACATGGATGGCACAGTGCCAATTGTTGGATTCACAGGCAGAAAATTCAAGATGCATAACAGCTTGTTTCTACAAGGTTTAGCATGGAAGAGCAAATAGTAGGGAGAGGAGTTCCAGATAAGGTTTTGGCAGTGGCACCTGCAATGGTATGAGAACCAGTACTCTGCAAAGATGGTTGTTCCACAAGAAGCTGAAACTTTGTGCCGTAAGAATGTTGGTTGCAGGGATCTCATATCTTTCAAAGTAATACTATATGGTCAGCACATGAAAACAGTAGTAAACACTAGAGAAAAACACACCTGGAAAGTTGCAGCCAAAATACTATCATCTCCAAAAGTATTTTTATGCCAGCTCTGGAAACTGAACCTTTGGAAAAGGACTTCTCTATCAAACATCCCATGGTAGAAACTTGGACTAACACTTATGTAATTTAATTTTATTTAAGAAAAAAATCCTCTTCAACTCATATTCTGTTTTTCATGCAAATACTTTGTTGTATCTGCACATTAAGTCTGTTCTGAGTAACTGTTCACCAGCTTTAGTGTAACACAATTGGTACAAATAGATGCTGAGCTGGTCACAGGTAAGGAGGAGGCTGTGCTACATGTCATGGACAATGGTACCACTTCTTTTTTTGTTAAGGCTTTTATTGTACTTTCTTCTTTTTTAAAGAAGTTTGTGTCCTGTCTGTGCCACCATGTGTAAAAAAAACTTTGCAATATCCTTCTGGTGCAGAACAAACTGTCAATCCATCAAGATAAAAAGAGATAAAGTCTTCAGTAGGTTAAGGATCTTTATTTTTCAGCAGAATTCCTCATGAATTGTTTCTTGACTTGGTAGGCATTTTTCCTTAAGGATGGTTTTGGTTGGTTTGGGTTCTTTTTTTTTGACTGGGGGAAGGTGTCTGGTTTTCTCTATTTCCCAAACAATAACATGTACCTAGAGTTCTTTGAAGTTTTGTTTTCAATCTTCCAGCAGCAACCTGTTTTTTCTCCTAAAAGAACAATTCATCCCAAGCACACAGAGGAATTCAAATTTCAAGTTTTTTTTTTTTTTTCTGTTGTTTGATTGTTTTTTTGGATAAATATGGAAGTCTTAGACATTTTTACTCTCTGATGTACTGTATGCTTTCACATGTCTTCTAAACATTTTACAAAAAATAGTCTGATGTTTACATATACTGTCTTGTGTAGTTGCTGTAGTTTTTGTTGCTACCTCTGCTATTTCTTTGCTGCAATTGTATTTGTATCTTGCCCTAAGATTGTTTATTGACTAGAGTGCAATAATTCATGTTTCCCAAGGCCCTGTGGAAAAACTGACTAGATTAACTATTATCCATATTTATTCTTCTCAACAAGAATGTTGCAATGATCTGGGAACTCAGCTGTTGGAAAAAAACAGAGGATAAAGACCTGTGTATTGGCTGATTGGGACACAAGTGGACTTACCTATGGATGCTAAATCTGAACCAGAGTGCCTGTGGTTATTGCAGGCACTCTGGTTCAGATTTAGCATCCATACTTACCAGTGAAATGTCAAATACAACCCATACACTTAAACAGCTGAGAAAGATTAATGCTGTCTTTAAGTCACTGTTAGACCACTGAGTCTCTGTCCTGATCATTCTCATTCAGAGAAAAATGAATTCATAACAGGAACAAAAAAGGCTGTGAATATCATAGGTGAACAGAAATCTCAGTTTCAAAGGAGACTGGCAGAGCGGGATTTGTCTAGTGTAACGAAGACAAGAAATCAAAGTGTTCTATAAATTTATTTAGAGGCTAGGAAAGGTGTCCCTGCCCATGGCAGGCAGGCTGGAACTACATGATCTTTAAGGTCCCTTCCAAGCCAGGCCATTCTGTGATTCTGTGAAAGGAGATAAACACCTAGAAGGAAGGACTATGTGCCCTAAGAGACAGAGTTAGTGTAGGCAGTAACAAACAGTCAAAGCACAGCTTTTTGGCTTTTAAGCCTAGTCTTTTGAAACAGGTTTATTGATGAGAGACAGTTGCCACTCACCCCAATTCCTTTGGGAAAGCAATCTATTTATGCTTCCCAAAGCCATCAGGCTAGAATTTAAGTGATTCAATTGTTTAGCAATTTCATCCATTGCTGAAGCAGTTTTAGCCATGGATGGAAAGGCTTATGTTGCCCTGCACAAACTCAGAGCCAAGAGAACTTTCTAGATTTTCAACTAC